TACAATGCCTTTTATTTTTGTTTATTGGTAGTACATGACATTTTTAAAAATTTCCAAATAATACTTTTATTTGAGCTTTAAATTGTTTTCAAATATAATCAGATTCTATTATAATAATATTGGTGATAAAATTTTTTAAATTTTTTTTTAGCATTTATAAGTTTTAGGGTTTAGGGTTTGGAATTTATAAATTAAAAATGGCGAAAATTTGCTATTTAATTACTAATTATTAACAATAGTACATGAACTTGTATTTTCCAATTGAGTCACCACAAAATCAGTGCACAATAATATCATAAAAACAATATCACTAATTGCAAACTTTATTACAAAAGACCACTATCCAATGACAGAAAAAGACAAAAGCTTGGAGAAAGAACGAAAAACGTCTCGTGGGCTAATCTAAAAAACGATCAAACAAGAAATAATGGTAACAGAACCAAGAAAAGAAAGATGAGGCCGAGCCGAGAAAATAGAGAGCTTGAGGCAGCGCTGTGCAGAGGAGCGGAGGGTGAAGGAGAGAAGGAAGAAGGTGACTTCTCCACAACTTGGGGAGATGTGACCAGGATGTCAAATCTCTGTCCGGCTTGACAGTGACCAGGAGCTCCGCAGACGTAGTAGTAACGACCAGGACGTGTGAGGTTAACCACGTCATAACCGGTTTTGTATCTTGCTATGGTGGAAGAGAGGTCGCAGAACTCGAAAGCTAAAGGACTCGCAACTTCTGTCACGTCATGGAAATCCTTGTTGTACTCGAAGACGAGAGAGTCACCCACTTGGAAGTGTCTTGACGTGACCCATGTGTAATAGTCGACACCCGGTGCCCATCCCTCGATCTTGTGCGTTGTTCCCACGCATCCTACGAAGAGAGAAATGGTCACGAGCATGAAGAAACTGATGATCACGTTCTTTGTTATCGCCATTTTGATGCGTAGAACGAGAGGACAAAGTCGAAAACTATCGAAAGGGTTGCTGAAAGTGAGAAACTTTGAAGGACCCATGACGGGTTTATATAGATATTCCATTCCTTTTCCTTTTGGGGTTTTTTGTTTGAATAATATCATCGATTAGATTAAGTTTCCTTTTTTTTGGGGCTCTGTGTTTCCTTCTTCTTTTTTATTTTCATTTTTTTCTTCGCATATATTAACACGTATAACTCGATCTATACGCGTCTGATCAGATTTAAAATATAGGATTTCTTTAGCGGCAGTACAAAAATAACGCAAACTTAATCCTTTCACTGTTTTACGGCATCGTGTTTCTTTTTTTTTTAATGGAAAATTCTATAACGCGCAAAGGTAGATGAATATGCACGTGTCTAGAATTAAAACATAGTAAATAGGACTTATAATGAACCAAAAACAATTGAAAAACAAAAATATATCTATTAAGGTTGTTTGTGTAGAAAATCTTGAAAAAATCTCAAAATTGATTTTGTGAGTAAGATAACAACCTTTGAAATAAAAGATAAAGACAATGAAGAACTAACAACTTTAGAGTTAAAAGACAAATAAACAATAAGGTGATGATGAATTTGAATAGATATAGATATGTGTATCTAAAAGGAGTATGAAGAAGACTGAAAAATACCGAGTTTAAGAGAGAAAAATCGTAAAAAAAAAAGAGTGCAATTTTTGGTAAAAGTTTCTGTTTTTTATAAATAAGATATAGAAAAAATCCCAAAAAATAATCAACTTTCAATTTTACTTTTTAGGATTTGATTTGTGTTAATTTTTGAAAACGATGGTTTTCTTGCGTTGTATTTTAAGATTGGACGTGTGGTAATTAATGGTTGTATTAAACTATTCCGCTGCGTGTTTATAAAATAAAAGTTTTAAATTCCCGTATTTCTGTTTCGTAATATTTTATTCTTTATTACTCCATGTGGCGCTATCTGTGACGGGAATCGGGATACGGGTGTCACAACTTTTGGTATCAGAGCAACGTTCATTCCAGGGGAAACGACGACTCATTACCTTAAGGTTTTTCAATGAAAAATGTTTTTCAAAACCACGTCCAATGAAAAATCGTTTATGAAAACCGTACAAGTGATGCGAGCTGCAGTCGTCGAAAGCTTAGTGAGAATAACATGGCGCATTGGGAATGCCGCCATGATATGCTTAGCTGGAAAATAATAATTTCCGCAATTAAGTCGAACGCCTAACCCAAGGGACCAGAATCAAGGAATTAATCCTGAATTCCTTAAGGGGCCATGGGGCAGTGCCTAAAGGAACATACACCAACTCTACAAAGTGGGACGTATAGGACAAAGGGGGGAGGATCTGGCGTCGTCTACCAACTACGTGGCTTTGACAGGGGACCCCTTCACATTAACATAAAAGACCGAAAGTGATCAGAATAAAGGCAAGGATGCATCAATGAATAAAAATATGTCTAGACTCAAAGTAAACACTGCGAGTGTAGATACACCATGTGGACTCAAAGTAAACACTGCGAATCGGGATACGTTTTCATGTACTAATATGCTAAACGAGTTACGTAAAGGACATGAAGGCTGGAAAAAGACCCATTGTGCATAGGACACGTGGTCTTAACCTAAAGCACTCCATTGGATCTCACCAAAATAATTGAGGCTAGGGATTGGAATCTCAAACCTGCAACAAAGTTCAGACGGACTATCGAAGGTAAGGATAACCCTAGAATTGGAAAGGAAAAGTCGACTCCAGCACCAATCATATGGTGACCACACTGGGAGCACAATGAAAAAGCTTATATCGACGTATTTCGCAGAGACGAGATGGTGCGCGAAGACCAGAAAGACACGTCATTATCTATGCGTGTGACTAGTAGAAAAGAATTCTCCGACCCTTGGCATGAACTCACAAGACAACTGTGTATCGAAAATCGGGAAAGGTAACCTGAGAAATCACTCAAAAAGGGGTGTAAACATAATGTAACAACAATGAACGGGGAGCATTATTGACCGCAATGTAGAAATCATCTACTCCCAGGAAAAACACAGCGTGATGGTAAAGGTGCTAAGCCCCAGGAAAGGCTCTTAGCAGATTATGGGATAAGACATGACCATGATAAAAACATTGTGGACGAAACTCAGGATGAGAAATACATATCACACCCAGACCGACGGTGAACCGAAACAAACCATCCAAACTTCAGGAGACAAACTGAAGGCGTGTCTCTGAATGGAGAGTTCCATGGGACCTATACATTGTTGTGCGAGGTCACATGCAACAACAAACAAGAAACAAACCATCCAAACTTCAGGAGACAAACTGAAGGCGTGTCTCTGAATGGAGAGTTCCATGGGACCTATACATTGTTGTGCGAGGTCACATGCAACAACAAACAATATATAAAGGACGGGATGTCCGTATATAAGTATTAAATGGGAAGTCATTCGAGGTTCCACTGTTTTGGATAAAAAGCGGAGAACGTCAAGTGTTCGGATCGGAAAAATCATTTACGAAGCAAACAAAAGTGATCCAAAAGATTCGCGATAACCTGAAAACGGCGTAGAATCGACAGAAGTCGTATGCCGATCAGAGAAGACAAGAGTTCGGACCCGATATCGTGGAATAGACCATGGAGGTGATCCGAAGGATTCGCACTAACCTGAAGATGACACAGGATCGACAGAAGTCTTATGCCGTTGAGCGGAGACGTGAGGTCGCCTTGGAGGTTGCAGATCTGGCTCTCCCCCCAGTTTAGGCCATGCGGGAGCATGCAAGATTTTGACAAAGCGGGAAGCTGAAACCGTTGTACATCAGACCTTACCGATGATTGAAAAGGTAGGACCAACAGCCTAACATTTTGAACGACCATCGAAACTAGACAACATCCATGACGTGTTCCACGTGTCGATGCTACGGAGGTACGTAACGGATCCTTCACAGTACTACAACCACAAGAGTTGAAGTTCATAGACACTATGCGATTCCTGAACGAGCTTCTGCAAATCGGGGATCAAAAGGTCAAGAAGGTACGAACGAAGGAAGTGCCACTGGTGAAGGTTTCATTGGCGGAGCCAAGGGTTCTTTGACATGATCTGGGAACTCGAGGCGGAGATGCGTAGCAAATTAGCCATATCTCTTTGCTTGAGTGTTGTATGAGTTATACATGACAATTTGTTGTATCATACTCTACATTTTGGATGGCTATGTGATGATATGAATGTGATGATGATTGGAGCATATCCCACGGATTCCGAATTCGAGGACGAATTCTTTTTAAGGGGAGGATTTGTAATACCCCGATTCCCGAAGAAAAATATTTAATTATTTTTGAGAATAAATAATTAAATAAATGCCGCTAATAATTCGGGAAAGAGGATTGGTTCAGAGCTGACCAGAGTCAGTCAACCGGACCAGATCCGTTCCAAGGGAAAGAACGGACGGACCTGAGGAAGGAAAATGCGGACTGGGAGGAGGTCTGGTCCGGAACTGACCAACTATTGGTCAGCCGGACCAGGACAATCAGTCGGATCAAACGGATGAAACGGACCAAGAAAAGAAATAAAAATGGGAAAAACTGAGTTGGTCAGCTCCGGACCAACTCAGTCAGCCGGACTTGGACAGGACGGACGGACCAAGAGAAAAATGAGTGTAGTCCGGACTTGGTCAGCCGGACCAAAATCTGGTCAGTCCCCGGACCAAGTAACAGATAAACTATCGGCAGACTTATGGTGCGCGATTTTCTCACACATGGGCGTCCACAACACACCTAATCCGCACCAAACCGACAAAAGGAGACCGCAGCTATCTCCTACACTCGTTCAATCACCCCAAAACTCTCTCATCTACCCTAAAGACCCTCTTAAACGGATCAAATCAACCATTTTCGGACTGAAAGTGGGCAGAGAAAGAAAAGAGAGGAAAAGAGAGAGAGGGAGAGAAAGAAGAGAGGAGGAGGGAGAGGGAGCTCGGGAAGACATTGATTAAACCTTGAGTGTCTAGGAGGAGATCTCAAGGCGGAGGAACACAGACACATCAACCAAACTCGACCAAATCAGATTCAAAATGAATCTGATCCAAGAACAGGTGAGTGGCTTGAGTTGCGTCTATGTAAACTCGTTTTCATCGATGTAATTGTGTTATCTCGATGATTCGTTGATTGATTTTGAAAGAGGACAATGAGAATTTAGAAAAAAAAACGACGCTCAATTTGGCTGAGAAACAAAGGAGATATGAACAAACGAAAACTGTAGAAAAACTAAAATTTGCAGAATCGCGATTTTTCGAGGTACAGGCGTTACGTCATCGTGTATACATGAGATTTAAATAATCTACTGCTTGGACATGAAAAAGTACATCCCAATGAACATTTAGAAACAAACGGTGCGCGATTTGGTTAAGAAACGAGTGAGTTATGAGCAATCGAAGTCGGACCAAAAACCTAAAAATGCGAACGGACGAACTGCCCAGTTCCGGTCCGCCAGACCAGGAACTGGTCAGCTCCGGACCAGGTCCGGGAAAATATTTTTAGTCCGCCGGACCAAGGGGAAGAGGCTGAGGAAGCCTGGTCCGACCCGGATCAGAAACTAGTCCGACGGACCAGGCTTGTTTTGGACCAAAAAATGGTCTGATCAACCGATTTCATGGGGACGGGCCGGATCCGGTCCGCCAGACTAAATATAGGTCTGGATCAGACCAAATCTAAGAGGAAAGAGAAGATAAAAATGAACAAACTGAATGAATACGCGTGGTGAGACGTGAGAAATAAACACTGCGAGTGAATCATTGTGTGATTATTTTTGGGTAGCATTGCATGGCGTGAAACGGTAAGACGGTGTGAGGCCGAATACCCTGATACGCGTGATTGTAGCCGGGGGATGATGATGCATGTTGAATGCTATGGTTGAAGCTCACTCGTGCGATGCGTGATTGTGATATAGTCGCATTCGATGCGACGGCCAATGTCATGCGATGTGACGGGTGTGAGAGGCGCTCCTAGTCATGCGATGTGACTAGGGTTTATAGCTAACCCTATGGTGCAAAGCCATACGAGATTTGATTGTCGCGCGAAGCGACGACCAAAGTCATGAGATGAGACGGGCGTGAGAGGCGCTCCTAGTCATGCGATGTGACTAGGGTTTATGGCTAAACCTTTGGTGCGAAGCCATACGGGATTTGATTGTCGCGCGAAGCGACGACCAACATCATGAGATGTGACGGGCATGAGAGGCGCTTGTTGGGTTTCCTGGGATCTCATGAGCGAATCTAATTCCTAAGAGATCGATTCTAGGGTTTGCGCAGCGGATATAAAACAAAAATTTTAATGAAACCCTAGAACCATGCTACTATTGAATCATAGAAACGTTAGAACGCTTACCTCAATCGATCCGGGGCCTGTATCAATTGATCTGTTCGTCCGATCACTCTAGGCAGGAAGAATACCTCGCCCTCTACACGTATCCACACGTCGGGATGGATTCCAACACCTTGAAACTTGTCTGCTAGGACTAGAGATCTCGATCTCTCTTGTGTGCAAGGTTTTGGAGGCTTAGGGGTTTTATTTTCCTTCTTTTTTTTCTTTTTCTTTTTTTTCCTTTTTTAAAACCCTAGAAGACATTCTCCTTATATAGACTTTCCAAAAATCCTAATTTGACAAGGAATAGATTACTAGGAATCCTAATCTAATTAGGTTTCCTAAACCTATTAGAATTCTAATCTCATTAGATTTCCTAGATGTAATAGAATTCTAATCTCATTAGGATTCCTATACATAACAGGATTCCTAATCCCATTAGGATTCCTATTCCAATTAGGAATCTCAATCCAATTAGGATTCCTAATCGGGATAATTTAGCACACGTACTTGTCCATCCCTATTGTGTGTGACCCTGTAGGCTCATCCGGAATAGCAGTAAAACACAGAATCTCCATTCCGGTAATACAAGTCATAGGCGGTCTCTAGCAAGACACTATGACTACCTATCTCGAATAGAGTTTGTTCGTGATCATACGAACTCCAGTGATGATTTCGGCTGATGATCCTTTTGTATCGCGATATGATATGTCGAACATAAGGCATGGACAAGCCACCTTATCTGATTCGACTGCTTTCTCGTTCACTGAGTTCGACTGTCTGAAATAGACGACGTTCGTCTATAGTGCGGCCACACATTTCTACAGTCTTGCTCACACGAGGGGCCCAGCGATATCTCTCTCTTTTACGAGAGGTACAAATCCCGTCTTGACTATCTAACATCCAGTACATGATTCGTTTCGTACCTGATACACGCCTTTATAGTCCTCCTTTTACGCAGGACGTTTGACGTAATCACAGCACGCAACTCCTCATGTTGGATTCTGTAGATATCTCAGGTCTTAGGATCCAATCATGGAATCGTCGTATGAGATTCAAGTCATGACGCTAGTCCATGTGACAATCTCATGCGGGTCAGTCCAGTATTCCGTTCTGCAACGAATACCTATGATTGTGATCGTATCCAATACCTATGATCATCTATGTGATCATCAATCACACATCATACTAGTCTTATTATGTCGTTATTCCCATAATGACACAAGACTAGGGAGTTTAGTATCATTCATAATGATACATGGATTTCATAACAGATCTAGCATGCAGGAACATGTAATGAACAAAATACTCTCATAAAAAAACATATAGAAAGTATCAATACATCGAATGTATCTGAACAAAGCTCATAATCAGTACATCATAGAGCACTAAACCAACATCATGGACGTCTGCACTTGGGCGAATTCACTCTGCAATGTCGAAAGTTCTTTTTTCAGAAATTCGATGTGTTCCTTGTTTGGTCGCCATTGTGATATCACGTGTTGTGGTCCGGATCGTGAATGGCAAAAAATAAAGGGTCGACAATCCAGATTCCAGGTTGTCAATGACCTCTTTGGTTGTCATGTGATACCACCGAGTGGTCCGGATCAACGATAATGAAAAAACAAAGAAAGAAAAAGATAGACTTTGATACCAATAATAGTGGTCCCAATCAAAAGCGAAGACCAACACAAGATTTCTACAAAAATATTCTCTATCTTTTTTAACATGATAGTTTAATTTTTAAATAGAAAAGATGAAAAAAAATTACTTTAGTGGGTCCTAGATATATGAAACAAAACGTAATAGAGATATAACTCCTACAAGAAAGGAATATTAATTCTCTCAATCCTGATTTCAGATTGTTAATGACCTCTTTGGTTGTCATGATACTACCGAGTGGTCCGGATCAACGATAACGAAAGAAATAAAGAAAGAAAAAGATAGGCTCTAATACCGATGATAGTGGTCTCTTGGGGTGGCCATTTTGGGGTTCGGTTCGGTTTTTGGTTCGGTTATTTCGGTTATAAAAAAATCATACCCAAACGGTTATATAGATTTAATCGGTTCGGTTCAATTCGATTTCAGTTCGGTTCGGTTCGGTTTTTGTATAATAAAATTATAACCAAACGGTTATATTTTTCGGTTTATTCGGTTCGGTTTTAGATCGATTCGGTTCGGTTATGATATATATTGAAAAAAAAGATTATTAATCCTGCATAAACTTCAAAATATATATCCAAATAAATCCACAAAATGATTAATCCTCCAATAAAATTATAAAAAATATCTAAAAACTTCAATAATTAGGATAAAAGTTAAAAACATTAAATTTTATTGTTTGTTGGATGAAATATATAAGGTTAAAACTGAAGTATAAAAAAATGATACTAATAATAATGAGGATAAAAGTTAAAATATGAAAAAAAATTCAATAACCGTTTGGTTAACCGCGGTTATTAGGTTATTAACCGAACCGAACCTGAACGGTTATTCAACTTCCTCAACCGTTCGGTTACTAAGCAAATAACCAAACCGAACCGAACCGCTCCTTATTCGGTTCGGTTCGGTTTGGTTATTCGGTTAATAACTGAAATGGTCACCCCTAGTGGTCCTAAGCAAAAGCAAAGAACAACACAAGATTTCTACAAAAATATTCTCTATTTTTTTAACATGATAATTAATCTTTAAATAGACAAAGATGAAAGCAAATCACTTTAGTGGGTCCTAGATATATGGAAACAAAATGTAATGGAGATATAACTCTTACAGGAAAGGAAGACTAATTTTCTCGTATTTTATTCAATGCAAATAACCGCTAAGCGGTCGGTCCGCATCACTAAACAAGTTATTAAGTTTAACGAAATTTAAGAGAGAACATGTATAAATAGATGACATTTTTAAAAAATTCTCAAATAATACTTTTATTTGAATTTTTAACTGTTTTCGAATATAATCGGATTCTATTATAATAATATTGGTGTTAAAAGTTTTTAAAAAATTTAGCATTTATAAGTTTTACGGTTAGGGTTTGGAATTTATAAATTAAAATGGTTGAAATTTGGTATTTAATTACTAATTATTAACAATAGAAACTTAAGGTGTTGTAGCCTTCTATAATGTTGTAAGTTTAGAGCTCCGTTGAAAGGATACAATGCCTTTTATTTTTGTTTATTGGTAGTACATGACATTTTTAAAAATTTCCAAATAATACTTTTATTTGAGCTTTAAATTGTTTTCAAATATAATCAGATTCTATTATAATAATATTGGTGATAAAATTTTTTAAATTTTTTTTTAGCATTTATAAGTTTTAGGGTTTAGGGTTTGGAATTTATAAATTAAAAATGGCGAAAATTTGCTATTTAATTACTAATTATTAACAATAGTACACGAACTTGTATTTTCCAATTGGGTCACCACAAAATCAGTGCACAATAATATCATAAAAACAATATCACTAATTGCAAACTTTATTACAAAAGACCACTATCCAATGACAGAAAAAGACAAAAGCTTGGAGAAAGAACGAAAAACGTCTCGTGGGCTAATCTAAAAAACGATCAAACAAGAAATAATGGTAACAGAACCAAGAAAAGAAAGATGAGGCCGAGCCGAGAAAATAGAGAGCTTGAGGCAGCGCTGTGCAGAGGAGCGGAGGGTGAAGGAGAGAAGGAAGAAGGTGACTTCTCCACGACTTGGGGAGACGTGACTAGGATGTCAAATCTCTGTCCGGCTTGACAGTGACCAGGAGCTCCGCAGACGTAGTAGTAACGACCAGGACGTGTGAGGTTAACCACGTCATAACCGGTTTTGTATCTTGCTATGGTGGAAGAGAGGTCGCAGAACTCGAAAGCTAAAGGACTCGCAACTTCTGTCACGTCATGGAAATCCTTGTTGTACTCGAAGACGAGAGAGTCACCCACTTGGAAGTGTCTTGACGTGACCCATGTGTAATAGTCGACACCCGGTGCCCATCCCTCGATCTTGTGCGTTGTTCCCACGCATCCTACGAAGAGAGAAACGGTCACGAGCATGAAGAAACTGATGATCACGTTCTTTGTTAACGCAAACTTAATCCTTTTACTGTTTTACGGCATCGTGTTTCTTTTTTTTTTAATGGAAAATTCTATAACGCGCAAAGGTAGATGAATATGCACGTGTCTAGAATTAAAACATAGTAAATAGGACTTATAATGAACCAAAAACAATTGAAAAACAAAAATATATCTATTAAGGTTGTTTGTGTAGAAAATCTTGAAAAAATCTCAAAATTGATTTTGTGAGTAAGATAACAACCTTTGAAATAAAAGATAAAGACAATGAAGAACTAACAACTTTAGAGTTAAAAGACAAATAAACAATAAGGTGATGATGAATTTGAATAGATATAGATGTGTGTAAAAGGAGTATGAAGAAGACTGAACAATACTGAGTTTAAGAGAGAAAAATCGTTAAAAAAAAGAGTGCAATTGTTGGTGAAAGTTTCTGTTTTTTATAAATAAGATATAGAAAAAATCCCAAGAAACAATCAACTTTCAATTTTGACAAAAAATAGTGGAATTTATTTTTTGTTAATAAATATTAAACATTTTAGGAAAAATCTAAAAAAAACACTGAAATTTACAATTTTGACAGAAAAATATCGAATTTTGTTTTTGTCAAATAAACATTAAACTTTTTAAATAAGTTTTAAAAAATATTAAGCTTTTTAAATGATAAAAAAATACATAAACTTTTATGTGATTGTCAAAAAAATATTAAATTTTTTAAATGATTAAAAAAATACATGAACTATGTATAATTGTCAAAAAAACCAACGACAATAATTTGACGTGTTTACATCTACTTATGTCACATCAGCTCATTTATTTATTTTGAAAATCGTAAAAGAGTTAAGTGTTTTTTTATAAATTTAAAAAGTTTAATGTTTACTTGACAAAATCAAAAGTTGTGTTTTTTTTAAAAAAATTTAAAATATCAGTGTTTTTTTGAGATTTTTCTAACTTTTTAACGAACAGTTAACTTTTTAAATGATCCAAAATATACATGAATTTTTCTATTATAAAAATGATACTGAACTTTTTTAATAAGATATATATCTGAGAGAAAATTCAGTAAAATCCGACATAACGAACTTTGGGTATGAAAGCTTAGGGATTCACACGGGTTGTTGGTGAATTGATAGAATTCATATTGTATGAGGCTAACACTCATGGAAAATGTGGTGCTTCATTGCTACTTCAAAAGAAACAAGTTATAGTGCGAAGCCATACTGATAACGCAAATCTAGGTATAGAAATAATGCTCAAGTGATAAAAACCTAGATACAGCGAATACCGCAAGGATACGGATCAACTGTAGTACTAGGGTGGAACACAGGGAATAGTTAACTCTAGGAACAAGACTCAACCAAGAATTAGATCAGAAAATATGGAATGAAGTATGTGAATATAAAAAATAAAGCAATAAACTAACTAAGTAAAATCAGATAGATAAACCACCGTAGCTTCGGGATAACCTTAACGCGCAGGGATTTTTTCTAAGGATGGAGAATCTACGAATATCGAACTCTAATCGGGGATCTCAAGTTCTAATATCAGATTTGGCTCTCTCAAGTCCTAAATCCACTATCCAATAATTTAACCTATCGATCTCTGAACCTAATAGATTAAAATATCAAATGCATTAACGATCACTATCACAGTTCCTAAACCGATTAACCTATCTTTCAATAGTCTTAATCAATTCAGTCAATGAATTCGTTCCGAACTCTCGTTGCAAATCAGAATCTAAAATCAATCAATCAACTGGCCAAGAAGATCAAAAGTAATAAACTCAATTCAATTAAATCGAAGAGTATCGATAACGTAGTCTCGGAAAATAAAAACCAAACAAATCCCTACAAGGTTAAATCCCTAGCTACAGTGAAACGACTACTCACTCCCCATAAAAACAAACGAGTTGAAATCAATAAGAATAAACATAGAAACAGATAAAGAAGACTTGCAGCGGTCTCTCGACGACGATTCTTCAATCTCTGCTCCCGGAAAACTCCGTCTTGATTCTCTCTCGAGTTCTCTGGCTTCTACTGTGATCTCTCGATGATTTCTGAAGTCTAAGACGTCCTCTCTTTATTGGTTTGGCGGCTAGGTTTCTTCCTTTGCTGAAAACGGAAGTCCGGATGCAAAATAGGAAGTTTCCCGTAATTATAGAAGACTTGCACTCTCCTTCTGCTTCTTCGTTTCACGTTTCCGATTCTTTACGGCATGATCGTTTAGGCCACCCGCATAATAAAGTGCTTACTTTACTTGTACCGCACACCAAAAACATTGCTTCACGTTTCCGATGTTTGGACGGCACCGTGTTTTTCTCGTGATCGCTTTAAATATTTTGTGACTTTCATTGATGAAAAGACTAAGTACACTTGGGTATATCTTTTGAAAAATAAGAGTGAGGTCTTCAATGTGTTTAAATCGTTTGTTGCTTTTGTCACTAATCAATTTGGTGTGAAGATCAAATGCATACGAACCGATAATGGTGGTGAGTACATGAATTATAGCTTTCGGACTTTCCTTGAAGCACATGGCATTCTTCACCACCGGTCTTGCCCGAACACTCCTCAACAAAACGGTGTAGCCGAACACAAGAATCGCCATCTCATGGAGGTCTCACGAACGCTTCTTTTTCACAAACACCTTCCGAAATCTTATTGGAGTGATGCGGTCAAGACGGCATGTTACTTAATTAATCGTCTTCCCACGCAAGTTCTCCATGATAAGTCTCCCTTTGAGGTACTCTTCCGTTCTAAACCTTCAATTGATCATTTGCGGATTTTTGGGTGCATATGTTATGTCTATGTAGATTCATCTAACCGCACCAAGCTCGACCCGAAGAGTATCCGTTGTATTTTTTTGGGCTACCCAAATGAGCAAAAAGGGTACCTTTGTTATCAACCCTCCACAAAGAGACTATACACTTCTCGGGATGTGAAATTCGATGAACACCTATCATATTATGACAAGCACGATTGGACCGAGAATGACTTGCAACACAAGGTACCGAGGACACACACCCAGCCTCTGACCTCCTTGCGCACTATCAAAATCTGGGTGGCTCTTCTCTTGCTCCATCATCATCCATTCTCGGCCCAGCTCCTATCCTTTTGGAGCGACAACAGGTTCTGTCTTCTTCTCCTCTGCACAATGCTTCTTCTTTACAGACTAACGACGCAGGTATTCTTGGTCCGTCTCCCTCTGCCTTGTTGGATACTCCTCCTCAGGGGGAACCACCGACGTCTGATCATGGGACAGAAGCTCAGTCGCATTCCTTTCCTCTTCCCTCTGCCATTTCGGAGCCAGCCCCTGCTTCGCCTGTAGAAGCTCAGCCGCGTCCTTCTGCAGTTTCGGACCCAGCTTCTCCTGTGTCGATCGATGGTGTCTCGAAACTGACTGTTTCCCCAGTACTGGAACCTGATCGTGAAGCTCCCATCGCAGTTGCCCCTGTTTCCGTGCCAGAACCCGCCGGAGCAATAGAGCACCCAAACCGAATCCACGTTATGCAAATTTGGCTTCTGTGGCTCATCCGATTGGTGACTTCTCTTCCTTACATTGTTTTCCTATTGTTGACCAATCTTTTCTGAGTATTCTTGAGCGAGGTTTTGAACCTAAGAGTTATGATGATGCGAAGGTGTATCCTGAATGGCAACATGCTATGAAAGAAGAGCTTGATGCCTTGGAACAGAACGGAACTTGAGAACTAACTGATTTACCCCCAAACAAGCATGCCGTTGGTTCAAAATGGGTGTACAAAATCAAATACAACAGCAATGGTGAGATCGATCGCCACAAAGCTCACCTTGTTGCCAAAGGCTTCACTCAAATTTACGGGGAAGACTACACTGACACTTTTGCTCCGGTCGCTAAAATTTCCTCTATTCGTGTTATTCTTTCAATTGCCGCTAATTGCTCTTGGTCTTTATCCCAGATGGATGTCAAGAATGCCTTTCTCCAAGGCGATCTTGCCGAAGAAATTTATATGCATCCACCGCCGAGTTACACCTCAAGCTCGCTCATTTGCAAACTCAAAAAGTCAATCTATGGCCTCAAACAATCACCGAGGGCGTGGTACCAGAAACTTCATGATGCACTCTCGGCCCATGGTTTCATCCGTAGCGACAATGATCACTCTCTCTTCATTCGCCGAAGTGCTTCGGGTATTATCGTTCTCCTTGTGTATGTTGATGATATTATCATCACATGTGATGACAATTCCGGCATTGATGCCACAAAAACTTACTTGAAGAAGACATTTGATATCAAAGATCTTGGCCAACTCAAATACTTTCTTGGGATTGAAGTAACTTATTTTGGATCTAACCTCTTCTTGTCTCAGCGGAAATATGTTTTAGATTTACTACGGGAAATAGGAAAACTCGGAGCTATACCCGTCCGTACGCCAATAGAAGAGCATTTCAAGGATCAACACGAGGGGGAATTAATGGAAGATGCTGGGCAATATCGTCGCGTTGTAGGTAAGCTTATATATCTTACAATTACACGACCTGACTTAAGTTTCGCTGTGCATCAGGTTAGTCAATGGATGCACGCTCCGACAACGACGCATTGGCAGATTGTAGATCGTATTCTCAAATATCTTAAAGGAACGCCCAACAAAGGATTATGGATGCAATGCAACAAACACACGGAGCTAATCGGATATTGTGACGTTGATTGGGCGGGTGACAGAACGGACCGGAAATCTACCACTGGCTATTGTACCTTTGTAGGCGGCAACCTTGTTACGTGGAGAAGCAAGAAACAAACCGTTGTCGCAAGGTCAAGCGCAGAAGCAGAGTACCGGGCCATGGCAAACACTACAAGCGAGCTCGTTTGGTTGAAGCAATTGCTAGAGGATCTTGGTATCAATTCTCATAAACCAATCCCTCTACATTGTGACAATCAAGCTACCCTACACATTGCTTCCAACTCAGTTTTCCACGAGAGGACGAAGCACATAGAAGTCAACTGTCATTTCATACGAGAAAAGATCACGAAAGGGATAATTGCTCCAATGTATACAAGAAGTCAAGACCAACTTGCGGATGAAGAACGTCTCTTCTTCCTCTTCTTCTTCTTCTTCTTCTTCGCTCCAATGTCATTTCATAGAAGAACGTCTCTTCTTCCTCTTCTTCTTCTTCTTCTTCTTCTTCGCTCCAATGTCATTTCATAGAAGAACGTCTCAATCTGTAACTTTTGATCTAACTCTTGATTTCTTTATTGATGTCTATGCGTAGATATTGAAGAGAGCTTTCCAATGAGGTAGAAAAAACACAATTTGGACTTGTAGAGTGGAAGTTATTGGACTTGCAAGATCTGACTTTTTAGGCTTCGTATTTTTCCCCGGAACTCCTTCAAATGTTCCCGTTTCGTCTGTGATGTTCCGTAGTCCATGTTTTCCACTCCTTTTGCTCTCTTTTATGCATGAATACCTATTTTGACACCAAAGAAAGCAACCAAGCAATATCGAGACCAAATGTACTCTAGAATGCCTATACATATGCAAAACCGAGTAAAATGCACTAGACATCTTATACCAAAATATCACCATAATACATGTTATCGCATACGGGATTTGATTGTCGCGCGAAGCGACGGCTAACGTCATGAAATGTGACGGGCGTGAGAGGCGCTCCTAGTCATGAGATGTGACTAGGGTTTACGGCTGCCTCTATGGTGCGAAGCCATACCTACTTGATTGTCGTGCGATGCAATGGTCAACGTCAAGCGATGTGACGAGCGTGTGAGGCGCTCCTGGTCATGAGATGTGACCAGGGTTCACGGCTAACACTATGGCGTGAAGCCATCGGGAATGAATATGATGATGTTTTGATGTGATATGAGTATATGTTTAATGTTGAATATTATATTTTATGTTTTATCATTTTAACACAGTTCTCGATGAGAACGGGTTTATCGGGTTCAACCCGGCTACTCACTAAGCGATTGTACTTAGTCCTCGTGGTTTCATCTTTTAGAGAACTCGAGGAGTACATGTAGCATATCTAGACGACGACGAAGACTAGAGAGAGGCAGCATCACGTACGGATTTGATTTGTGTTAATTTTTGAAAACGATGTTTTTCTTGTGTTGTATTTTAAGATTGGACGTGTGGTAATTAAAGGTTATATTAAACTATTCCGCTGCATGTTTATAAAATAAAAGTTTTAAATTCCCGTATTTTTGTTTCGTAATATATTATTGTTTATTAGTCCATGTGGCGCATCCTGTGACGGGAATCGGGATACGGGTGTCACCAAAATAATTGAGGCTAGGGATTGGAAATCCCAAACCTGCAACAAAGTTCAGACGGACTATCGAGGGCAAGGATAACCCTAGAATTGGAAAGGAAAAGTCGACTCCAGCACCAATCATATGGTGACCACAGTGGGAGCACAATGCAAAAGCTTATATCGACGTATTTCGCAGAGACTAGATGGTGCGCGAAGACCAGAAAGAAACGTCATTATCTATGCGTGTGACTAGTAGAAAAGAATTCTCCGACCCTTGGCATGAACTCACAATGACAACCGTGTATCGGAAATCAAGAAAGGTAACCTAAGAAATCACTCAAAAAGGGGTGTAAACATAATGTAACAACAATGAACGGGGAGCATTATTGACCGCAATATAGAAATCATCTACTCCCAGGAAAAACACAGCGTGGTGGTAAAGGTGCTAAGCCCCAGGAAAGGCTCTTAGCAGACACTGGGATAAGGCATCACCATGATAAAAACATTGCCGAGTTGGATCTAATGATGTAGAATGAACCCAGAATCGAGAAGGACACCGGTTTAAGCAAGCGGATGAGCAACGAAAGGACCTCATGATAATCCTTAATGCTCCAAGTGGGGGGACAATAGGGAGAGTTTTGGGTGATAAGGTATACCGTACCACTAAGTACGGAACACTGTAATTGGAGGACCTACCATGTGTGTCAGTTAGCCTCAGACTTAAAACGAATGCATGAATGAAGATTCACCGTCGAGGTTAACATCACACCCAAAACAGAGAAATGTAGCAAAAAGGATATGTCAAGTCGCAGGCTTAGTGAAGAACCAAGAGGAATGTAGCTAAGGTTGTAACCAACTGCTGAACTCTCTCGTATTTTATTGACAAGCTACAACGAAATAGAATTTTTGAGCAGAAAGTGGACTTCGACTGCTGTAGACTCAATGGTCGTGTTGCAAGCTGCTCCAAGTAGGAAGAATTCAATTGGGTAGTTGTGGATCGACTATAGTACACCCACTCATTTCGTACTAAGATTACAGGATGATTTCGATAAGCGCGATTAGCATAAGGCTATGCTGATGAGTTCATACGATGTCATAAAATTCCTAGTCAAATCATCTCAGATAGAAGTGTTCGGTTGCATCTCGTCTACGATATACGATACAAGGAGTATTGTGGACGAAACTCAGGATGAGAAATACATATCACACCCAAACCGATGGTGAACCAGAACAAACCATTTAAACTTCAGGAGACAAACTGAAGGCGTGTTTTCGAATGAAGAGTTCCATGGGACCTATATTTTACATTGTTGTGCGAGGTCACATGCAACAACAAATAGTATATAAAGGACGGGATGTCCGTATATA